AATAACTGTAGGAAGAAAGTAAAGAAATAAAATGGTACAACGCGACTAGTCACTACTTATATATACACTGTGAACATAAACAAACTAAGAACAAGCATGATAAATGGGTTGATAAGCTATCAAAGAACATTATGCTGTGGGAAATCTTCGGGCCTATTCCCACCTTGCGCGCCGTGCATTCCTCAGGGTCCAAAGAATGATACGAACCGCAAGTTCGTATACTCCGACCCTAACGTCGAGAATGAGAGGGGCTCGATTCGTCTGTGCTGTGATTTGTGTCGTTGTCAAGTCCGTGGCTGTGTTCCGAGCGCCGTAGTTCGCGCTGGCAATCCTCTATCCTGTTCTCGAGTTCCCTCCTTCTCTGCCTTAGGCGATTGACTTCGTACGGCAATGAACATATGCCTGCATGATGGTCATGAGCCGTTCCTCGTCCGCTGTTCTTGCAGTAGAAGCACAGGGCTGGCTGTTCGCAGACACGCGAGTGGCGTTCCAGGCAACGGTAACATCTTCCTTCACGGTCCAATAGGGCTATTCGACTGCGATTGAAGTCACCCTGGGACATGAATCCGAGAAGTGTTGTCCATGTTCCTTGCAGAAGACGCACATGAGTAGACCGAGCCTGTGTCCTCTTTCGCCAAATCGTCTCTCCGGACAGGATAGTTTCTGTAATTCTCTCTGGATCTCTTTCAGCTCCTCCTGACAATCGGCAATACGTTCCTCGTGGTGGTGTCGTTTCTCCGTGATAGATGTTTTCTGCTCCAAGCGTTTGCGTTTTCTTTTTCCGGAATGACTGCTGTGATCACTGTGACTGTGACGGTGATGGTATTCCGTTTCCCGATGTGTCCTCCTGTGTCTTTCCGGTGATTCGCCCTTCGAGTTGCTTCTGGTGTCCAATTTTGTGATACAGTTCTTTACTTCGTCCAGCAGTTTCGAACTTTCATTGCGGCTCGGTTCAAAGTCTTCCTTGATCTGTGTCGCCAATCCTGACAGTTGCTGTTCCATGTACGAAGTCTCCTGTTGGATGTAGTCCTGTTGACGTTGGATCTCCTCTTTCAAACTGTGCATGTTCTTCTCTCTGTCTTCGGCCATTTGCTTGTCGAAGTGCTTGTACAATCCTTGGACCCAACTCCTTGTCTCTTCGTGTAGTTGGCGAACTTCATATCTCAACTGTGACAATACTTCTTTGATTTCCGAGCCGTCAGTCCGCGAATTGCCATTTCCCTTCTTATCCGAATCGTGTCTTTGGCGCCTCACTTCATCTCGAAGTTCTGTGATCATATCTTTGAGCTGCTGAATATCCCAGTTCGACGTTTTACTTTGAGGCCATTCTCTTCTACCTTCTCGCTGTCTTTGCAATTCCTTTTCAAGTGCTGTGACTGCGTTATACATTTCATTGAGCATCCTTCGTTCGCTCTCGGTGCCTCTTCTTATCTCCTGTTCCACCTCGTAGACCTCTTTCGCTTCGTCGTCAAGGAGCGCATCATATCCTGTGCGAATTCGTTGTAGTATGGGGCCGATTGAGTCCTTTCTGTACTTTCGGAATACTTGCTGTGGTTCCGGGTAGCCATAATCCGTGGGCCGTGTAGGTATTAGAATCACAGTTTCTTCCAGTTCGTTCAGGTATATGACTCGATCGATTTCTTCTGCTTCTCCGGCCGCCACCAGGACTTCATACCATTCGTGGGCAAGAAGTAGTTGATCTGCCCAAAAAATCATCTCTCCTTTTTCTTCTGTGTGCTGTGCTCGTAGCTCCTTGAATTCGAGTATGTATCGCAACGACTCCGCGACTATGTACGAAGTTTCCCATCGCGTTTGCTTCAGGGAGATGAGGTCTAGTTTCGCTTGTTACAGCTTATCTTCGAACTCGTTGCATTTGTCGCCACAGAATTTTATTTTTTGGCGGATCTGTGATTCCGTATACTTTAATGGCGACTCCTCGATGATGAACGTCTTCCATGCCAGTTCCTCTTTTACTCTTCTTTCGAGTTCCGCGATTTGGCTTGGGCTCAATTTTTCCATTTTCCTGTGAATAAATGAGGATTAGAGGAATGGTTCAAGGGGTTATAACTGGAAATCTCCCTCGGTTCTACGTTCTCCACTATCGAGAAGGGCTACATGCTTGCCGAATCTGAAATCTGTGCAGATTTGTTAGTTCAGCGTGATAACGAAGCGTTATTGCGCCAATTTTGCACTGTTGTGCCCTCCGGCCTCACCATCAAAGTAGGTTCCTGTGATCCTATTCTCTTTGATGTTTTTGTTAGTCCGTGATTGAGTTGTTAAGTGGTATCACCGCGTTTAATCTCCGTAAGCGCGATGCAAGGTGCGCGACGGAGTAATGGGCGATGTTTATGTTTTGATATCGCCGTCAAGCTGGCTTCGTTTTTCGTCATATTTCTATGATTATCCCTGTATTCTGTATATTTCTGCTGATTATTCACTGCATTTTTTCCTTTTCGTTTTTCTTTTTATTGTTGTTGTAAAATTAGTTTTAGGTGGCCCTGACCCTCTCGGCGTTTTCCCTGCCTACTCCCCCCTCTTTTTGTAGTTTATTATTTTTATTCTTTTTTTGGGTAATTAAACTTTTATTACTAAAAGGGACTAACAACTACAAAGCGAATACGAAAAATATTACACAAGCAATACAACGTCCATACATGTCACCCATACACTGTGAGCAGTGTGCGTGCGGTGTGTGCGAACTGTGATCGATGCTCCCATCCGCCAAAACTCCGGGATTTTCAAACTCTACTATTTTGCATACCATCGTGTACGAACTCACGCTCTTTCGAATGAGCCTACATATAGGCTCGTAGAATGACCACCGGCCGAGCTACAGGCCTGCAAAGCGGTGCAAGTCAGTGGTGAGATGCAGGTGGGGTCATGTGCACTCACTGTCAAGAGCCATTTTCAGCAACAAAAAAAAACTCGATAGCACAAGTCGGATGCATAGAAGATGTCAAAGGGCATCCATTTTATCCAATTAGCTTCGTTGGGATATCTTGAATAGGTTCCCATGCGAAGAATTTGGCTCAAAAAGGGGAATCAGAAGTTACTTTTGAAAAAAAAGCAAAATAAAATTCAAGCTTGGGTTTTTTTTTTGGAAGTAACTACTACCCGACTGTTGTCCTCGATGAGCTCTACAACATAGCATGCTTATCTGTCCGGAAAACTTCTGTTTTTGCTCCAAGAAAAGACCTAAAAGAAATTTTCCGCGTTCGAAGAATTAATGTTCGCGACATTGTGACGCGGCCATTTCCGGACTTTTTTTAGGAAAAGATTTTTAAAATTTTTATAATAAATATTTTCCAGAAAGCGCAATGTGTGGGTTGTAGCTCTTGAAGAGCTCTATCATCTCATGCAATCCAATCATTTTTTTCATCTTGTTTTCCATCCGAAAATGAGCTATGAAAAAAGGAAGGCGGCTTGTCCGCAACTTTTTGGCGGTCACTGTATATAGAACATGACATGGGCAACAAATGACCAGGTCAACGTTTCTCCAAGGTTGGCTTCAGATACGCATCGTATGATCCGCTTATTGCACTTAACCACTTGACTAGTGAACCAGTAATGTAAAGGTGCCATTTGGAGGAGCATTCGCTTCGGGTCCGCCACACGGTTTCCCGCTATTTGCACATTTCTGAATTGCGCTTACGACTCCTTATATATTAGAACCAGTGCGTCACCTCTGCTTCGCAGAGGCTCGCACTGGCCCTATGCTCTGTATATCTTACTCATTCCCGCATAATAATGACATTGAAACTCACCGCGCTATGTAGGCTATCACGAATAATTCGTAAACAACTACTCATTCGTAGAGGTCTTCCATGTGAGATCGGTATTTTCGCGTGGATAAAATCTTTCCCAGAAGAACAGATGCAAATTCGAATGGGCTTTTGGAATTTTTATGGCTTGGTAGTCGCCGTAAGGACAATAGACATAGTGGGCTACACCTCTGTGCAAAATTCTTCTCAAATAATCAGGTAAAATCTTGAATATTTGACCGTTTACACAGCGAATACTTTTTGGCGCTGTTTTCGTAAAGTAGTAGACTTTTCATGATTTTTTTAGGCTAACGTCCATGGCTTGCACATTAGCTTGTCGAATATATCCTTAACTCTGCAAAAAGTAGTACAACGGACCCAAATTTGCTGGCGAGAAGCCAAGTGGATCCGTTTGACGCGCAATTTGTAATGGATCCACTCAACGGATCCGCTCATGCTTTTGTATATTGAGGTTTCATGCTGGTAGCGTGCGCTGTGCAAAATTTGGGCTCAGGACGTTGGCTGGAACACGCTCTACGAATTTCGTGACAGACAGAGATTCACACACACAGACAGACAAACGTAAACAACCCTTAGCCCGTTATTATAAGTTATGATAGGGATAGATAGATTCACTTCGCTATTCGTCAAATCAGTTGACCATTAGCGAAGGAAGATGGATCAAGTTGACGTCCGCTCACTAATGGTCAGTTCACTGATCCTACCAATAGCGAAGTGGATCAAGCGGATCCGGAACGCGGAGCGCGTGCCTCACACATCGCGCCATTCAAATTATCCTTGTGCAATTACACCACAGTAAAAATTTGAGTTTAAAAGTCAAGTTCACACTATTCTCCAGTTGGGCATCTAACGTTCCGGTCTGCTCTCTAGTTAATACTTTCTAGCGAATTTGGGTGGTTCACTTCACTTTGGTAAATTTCTTATGGAAAACTACGAGTGGGGCATGGAATGCTCGACTATTAAAGAGGACCCTGATCGTTGCAGAAGATCTCCGGCAATGATTTTTACGAGGTAATCTGTTGTTCCGGGTCAGTCGTAAATTTCTTGAGTCTTTATGTCTGCCACAATTTATGCGTTATGCTAACGTGCTCCACAGGCGCAAACACAAATAGTTTATCTATCAGTTGATAAATTGCTCTTACTTTTCATCTGCGAAAAGTCATGTGCAGAATTTAGATTTGTTGAATGCCTTAGTTCTTTGCTGAATTGTATTTTTCTAGGTTAGTGTGTGCTGCCGGCAAGAGGTATGTTACTACTTCGTAGATCGTTGTCCACAGCTTCAACTTTGATAGGTAGAGAACTATACCAAGTAAGTTCCACTTTTGGGTCCTGAATTTTTCCTGCTGTTCCTTTTACTCCCTTTCTCACTAGATATATTTTAGCTTATAACAGATGGATTTACTTTTCTTCACTCATACTGTTTCACTTCGTTTCTAGTCTTAAGCTTTATATTTAAGGGTGAGTCTGTCGTGCGTCTCATTCTCAAAGATGTAAAGCGCCGAAACGCACTGTCGTTGGAGATGATCGAAGCAATTACAAAAGAACTGGAAGGAGTCAACACAATCCCGAAGGTATTATGAGAGATTCCACATTTTCCTTCGCAGTAATCCGAGACTCTTAGGTACGATCAGTGATTCTCACTTCAGAAGGCCCTGCTTTCTCTTCCGGACATGATTTACGGGAACTGGTGAGTTTTGCATTGTCGTACATGCTTCCTATGATTTTTTTACGTACATTCATTTTCGGAAAGCCGAAGCCGGATCTGATCTGCATCAGAAGATCTTCGAAAAATGCGGCAAACTCATGCTGTTGATACGTCGCATGGAAGTGCCGGTGATAGCTGAGGTTAGTCGAGTATTTACTTTGAAATAATTCTGCTACAAAGTAAGAGATGGTGTATATCAGTTATCTGGCGTTCTAGCGCTTCCGTTGAAGATAATATCTGCGCTTAGAAAAGGTCGTGCAACGCAAGTTCGATCTATCATTTTCCATATTGTTTTGTGCGCGCGACTGTTGTCTACATTACTTATTGACCATCGGTTTGCTAGCTGGATATCTATTCCTTTTGTTGATTTGTTATAAACTTGGCTTCCTTGAGTTTTTTTGTGCTACACAAACTTCAGATTATACTGTATCGCTACACTATTCTTCATTAGCTCCTTTTACCAATATCTAGAATTTGTGAATGTTTAGGTCTGCGGTATGGCAGCTGCAGCTGGATGCCAGTTAGTTGCGTCGTGTGATGTGGTGGTTGCATCTGACACCTCCAAATTCATGGTTCCTGGGTAAGTTCTTTTTCTAGAGTCCTATTCTCTTCTCATTTTATCGTAGAGTACTTAAGATGCCCTGAGGATAAGATCCACGAGTGATTTTACTGTACCTCTAGTGGGCATCATCAATCACTTTGCCGACCAATAAAGCGATTTTTACTCACACTAAGCTGAGACTTGGAAACATCCCTTACTTTTGCGAAAAGTCGACGCGTCATAGTCCTTAGACTTCCACGCCATTTGCTTGGGGAACTGACTAATACAAAGAAGTTTCGTGAACCTTCAGAATACTTTCTCTATGCCTCATTGCTAACTTCTCGTGACATCATTTTCAAACATGAAAATTGTGAATCATTTACCGTATTCTGCTATTTGAGCACAGTGTAGCGACCAGAATACATCAGAATATAGCTTATGATAGCAACTGCATCACATGAATCGCAGACGTAGTCTAGCTAGATATAAGGTATTATCGACGCGTTCATGGCAGGCTTATCCTGCTTAAGTAGGGCTTGCGGTCTATTATTAACACATTTTGGATTTATTAGCGCAAATCTTTGAAATCCAAGAATGGTATATAGGTCCGAGAAAGGAGTTTTTGCATTTGGAATGAGAGACTGCTCAATCACAGTCGTAGTAATTTACTTATGAGCTATAGTTCTGGTTGTCGTCTTTAATACTTTCACTTCGTTTTTTTTTTGCAAAGCCTTTATGTCGCGCCAGCTTTAGTAATGGCGAGTTTCTCTTGGAAAATCTTATGTGTTTAGCCAAAAAGTCGGTCTCTTCTGTTCGACTCCTGGTATTGCTTTGGCAAGAGCCGTTCCAAGCAAAGTGGCGATGGATATGCTCCTAACTGGTGAACCTATTGATGCTAAATGTATGTTGTCCACCAAAATTTTTGTTTGTTTTTTGAATTATTACAGCTCATGCTCTATATTTTTTCGAAATGATGTACAGAGTGTCCCAAAAAGATGTGCACACTGTTTGATCGTTAATAACTTTCTTGCTTTTATATCTTTTGCCGAACTTGTACCATTCTGTAGAGCGAGGAGAAACTTAGATTTACAGTATGAAGTGAATCACTAATCACTCTTTATTGCTGTAGGATTACGGTATGAACTTTCAGCATACAGCGTCACTGTAGAGTAGGCCTTTTAATGAAATAATTTCAAAAGAATCTGAAAATTTGTGTAACAAGGTTTTCAAGCGTGCTGATTTCAATACATAAATTTTCACCAATTTTGCGAGCTTTCTTTATGGCGTATTCACATTTCTGACGAACATCGGAAAATCATGTTACCCTGAATCTGAAATAACTCATGAAAGAAACAATGTCCTGACGTGCAATTTTCATATTTAGAGTCAGCGACTTTGCTTAGCCCAGTTCAAGAGTTTCTGGCTTGTTTGGCTCTCTTTCTGAGGCAAAATACCTTTTTTAATGGCTTAAAATCTTCCTCGAGGTTCCTACCGTAATCCTACAGTAATGAAGAGCGGCTGATAATTCGCTCCATACTGTGAATTTAAGTTGAACCTCGCTCAAGAGAATGGTAACTCAAGCTCGGCAAAAGACATGAAAACAAGAGAGTTATTGACGATTAAACAGTGTGCACATCTTTTTGGGACACCTTGTATTTTGAAATCTGACTACCAGCTTTTAGCTGCGCTTCGATGCGGGCTTGTTTCGCGTATAGTACCTGAGGAAAAAGTGAAGGAAGAGGCGCTGAAGGTTGCAGAGCAAATTGGCCGGTATAGCCGTTCGGTGACAGCGCTTGGAAAAGCATTTTTCTATTCACAAATTGAACTAGGAATCAGTGACGCATATAGGTTTGCTTGGTTGATTACTTTTTTTAGGTTTTTCCTTTCTTTGGCTCAGTGACCTACCATCTTCAAAAATCTCAAGGCGAATGAAACCCACTTTTTTCTGTCGTTGACACCCTTTTCTTCTAAAACAATCGAGTTTCTATATGGGATTTTCTGCCGATTTTCTAGTCAACGTCGATGAAAAAAATTCTTCTTCCTTTCATCTTTTTGCTTTTCTTCTTCATTCATTCCAAATTTGGCTGAGTTCTTCGGATAGCTAGACTCAAAAATACTTGTCGCTCCTATATGCACTCTTTGTGAACATGCTATTCACATGCGTTGCCAACGTCCGAGAAGTTTCAGCTCTTACGTTTTGCACACTTTTGCAGAACACAACAGCAAAAAAGTTCCGGACCTAAATCTGCAACTACCTCATTCTTTGTGACGCAAAATCTTGCTGCTTAAGATGCCGGAAATCTTATCCAAATCTTGCTGTTGGCTCATGTTTCGTTATAAACATCTTACGTAGATTCCAATCTTTTTGGATTATTACTGTAAGTCCATCTTAATGGCTCAGTACTGCGCACACATCGCCTGCACAGTCAGACGATGGGTGCGCAGTACTGAGCCATTAAGATGGAATTACAGTAATAATCCCAAAAGCTATTTGCTTACGTAGATTTTTTGCAGACGTAACATGTTGTTATTACGGTAAGCGTTTTATTCTCTGCTTATGTCATACTGTATGTTTTAGATATGGAAACAAGATAATGACGGAAAATTTGAAGTACAAGGATGCTCAAGAAGGTATCAATGCTTTCGTCGAAAAGAGAAAGCCAAATTTCAAGAATACAGATGAAAAAGTCTAGTCATATGTCCTGCCATTGCTAGTTTGAGGGTAATTATCATCAGGTGCCATTTTATTATATGTATCAGGAGATTTTTACTATTTATTACGCAGATATACTCGTGGCGGCAATAAATTTGTAAGAATTTGTCTAACCCAAAGTCTTTTACATATCATTCATTTCGATCTATTATATGTTGTGGGGGTCTGAACAAGAAATAAAGACATGATTGAAGAGGAGAATTTTCGATGATAATGTCATTGTCAATGTCGCACCTGATATCAGTGTCGCATGAGAATTCTATGAATGGCAACTCAGATGTAAGTTCAAGTCTGTAGACCTGGATATAAAGTCCAGTAACATCACAAGGTGAACTTCACCGCTGCTAACGCCGATATCTACTTTACACACCCTCGATGTTGTTATTGGTGTTTCTCAAGTAGCCTAGACCTCTATAAATGCAGATAGACCTACAAGATTGTGATGTGGGACGATGTGAGTTATGGAACAGAACACATTTCTCTCCAATTTGCACCGAATTATCATCAGGTCAGATTAATTTTGGGGGTAGCTTCAGATGTGTTCTGCTTTATAGATCAGATCGTCCATATAAAATCCTTTATCTTCTATCATTCAGCAGCATACGACTGTTATGAACTGCCTTCGAGTTTAGCGATCTAAATAGCATTACACCTTTTCTTGAAACTGTATAAGTACTTGTACTTTGTGGTTCTGAGCTTTGATCCGACCACTTGCAAATTATTTGACCATCTTCGCAGTCATTCAAGCAATACTCTATGGCCTAAGGAATACCTCACGCGATTCATGTCTCTGCGCGACTTGTATCGCAACGACTTTTCATATTTGGTTGTAGGCACGCTTTGGTTGGGCCAGACTTGATGATTTTGCGATAGATTGCAGAAGCTACGCTCCTATTGAGAAACGCGCGAGGCAAATCTATAGGCATTCGGCAATCGCCAAGTCGCGTGGATGTAGCAATTTGACGGAAATGCGGGAACTGCCTTAGGTCTAATTTTATAAGTACTGTTAGATCTTTGACCCAGCATCCAATGCAACTAGCCGGAGGACTTAAACTCGAATGAATCTTAGCGCCAATTCGACCGCCGCGCTCTCGGCTGAGCTATTGATACCAATGGCGCCATCGCCTTTACCAGTTGTCAAGTGTGCATATTATTCCGCAGCCTTACCTGACATTTTTGCTCATCCCATAGTATCTCGTAACAATGCTACAATTTATTTTTTCATTCTTTTCTAGACCTCTTATGAATGGTGTCGTCAGTTCGTTGACTGCACGGACTGCTCAAATTCTGCGGACCACGCGCGGTGCGCCTGAATTGTCGCGAGAGCACGACTTGTACAATGGGCAATTTGTACTGGGGCAAGCGTTTTACCTTGCAGCGCGTGCTCCACAGTGATGTCCAGTCGGTGCGGTCAACGAATCAGCTATACTTGAGGAGCCGATAGGAACCGCTAGGAACGTTCAACAATCAAGAATGACTTGATGGCGTTCATATCGTTATGCGAGCTATAATTTAGTGCTATCAGACTCAATAACAAATTGTATCCGCACGATACCACCAGTGTACCAACGCTAGAGGAGCTAAGGTTTGTTTGTCTTCCTCTTTATACGGATTTTTGTTCTTGAAATCAGAGAGAGGCAACTAACCGGAGGATGATAAGGCATTTAGTGGAGCAAGCATAATTTTCAGATCTCGCATCACTTTAGGCTTCTGAAGACGACGATAAGTCAAAACGTAAGGCTGCTTCAATAAAAAAATAACTTCATACGAACCCGTACTGGCATAACAAGACCAACATGGTTGTACGACATGCCGAGTTTTCAAGAAAAGAGGACAATCAAACTCCTGATATAATCTTGTTCACTGAGCATCCTCGAGGACAAGGTGGAGATTTACCAAAATTTTGCGCTTTTCTTTTCTCTTTGCTTTGTGTGGGAACATTTATTTCCCATCAATCATCACTCTCCGTCCCCTCTTCCCTCATCATAATTACTATGACTTTGCCAAATACTATTCACTGACGATGATCTGTGCCTATGTCGAGCGAAACATATGTATTGATCGATCGCGGAATTAAAACAGCTGATTCTGTCCCTAGTTTGTCTTGTATGTTACACTTTCCAATGTTGTAGCCCATTTTAACGGAAATATTGCCAAATTGCTAACACTTAGTGCAGCACAACTTTTTTTGAACAATATACACTAACACATGATCGCCTTGTGTGCATTGCAGGTTCTCTGTTGCACTAGAACTGCTTTTGTATTCATGGTTTACGTATCACATGTCCCCATGTCCTTTTTCGTGCATTTAACTTTTGTTCAAGGGAAGTTTCAGCTGGAATCATCGTGTGAACAGGATGGTATATACAAAAGCGTCGCGCACCTCTGCAAAACGGCACTTTGAATGTATCCAGAGAACTTCATGAATGCTGCAAAATTTGCAGGATTTTTGGTAGATTTCTAGCGAATTTACGTGGAAGTCCTTTCGGACAGTGCTCTGTCCTTCTTTAAAGAGTTGTTGCCACGTTTTCTAGCCTTATCGCGATCAAACGCTATGATAACCTAAACCTATCATTCTCCTCATGGTAAAATCGATAGGTCCTATTTTTTAGAAAAAGCTATGTAAACCATTGATAGATTCACAAGGACCATACTCATTCTAGATGGCAGGAATAGCAAAGTCTGTCACTACTTACAAGTGGTTCAGTGGACCAATGTCATCTTTGTATCTTTCAAGACTTGACTCACGTTTGAACTCGATGGTGGAAACTGGTGTTAGATCTGTAATAACCAGTGCTTCACCTCTGCTTCGCAGAGGTTCGCACTGGCATCGAGAGCCGTGGTAAACTCACTTTCTGAGAGCTTGTCTCTCAAACATTGTTCGCTTTATTGCAACGTGACCCGCAGTTAAAAATGAACCATACTCGCTATCTTAACCTCACATGATGTTTAGTATCGTAAATCATTCTTCACTGTAATTTCGTAACGGACAAACTCCACACAACTTCAGATTAAGCCGCTTATTATAAGTCATGATGTTTAGTATCGTAAATCATTCTTCACTGTAATTTCGTAACGGACAAACTCCACACAACTTCAGATTAAGCCGCTTATTATAAGTCATGATGGTTTGTAAAAATAACAAGGTTAACAAAGAACATATTTTCCGTTTCGTTTCTACTCACTAGATGGGAAGAGGTACGAATATGCCGATTTTATCTCCGGTACATATCAGTAGTGAGGGAAGATCGTAAGCATAGAAAAAAGGGAAAGAAAAAAAAGGAAAAAGAAATGGTAGTCAAGATAAGCTGATTAACTAGTGGTGTATAGTGTGATTAATCACAGCACAGGTATATTCTATCATGTCTGTGACAGTCTTTTATACCAACTTGCAAATAAAAACAAGAATCACAGTTCGGCTTGCGTCCTGAGCGTTTGCAAGAATTGAGCACTCCATTTCTAGATGTCCTCATAGACTCAAAGGAATATGATTGTGGATTTTGATGAATTTATAAAACCTGGCAGAAGGAATTTTGGTGGTACTAAACGTGGGTGGCATGTCCATAACTGCTTGAGTTTTTTCTTTTGAAGTAGTCCCTTATGGTTGGTCCATTGGCTTCCTTACTGATGAGTTTTTTTAAACTAGATCCGAGCTTCGGATTTTCTTTACCTTTCGGGTCTGATGTTTTTACATCTTGATGTTGAGTAGTAACATTCGCATTACTTTTAATGTACTGACCCATATAATCTCGCTCATTTGTGCGTAGCAATAAAATTTAAAAAAGAAAATTGCACATACTTGCATCCGTAATCCCCCGGAATAAACTTGGGACATTTTTTCTCGTTGTTAGTATTCTGTTTACGTTCGTAAATAAACTAGTTATGATGTGTTTGCATAAGACACTCATACCATCATGAAGCTTGTTTGCTGCAAATCCACTAATTATAGTTGAGCTTAAACCACTCTTATTGTGGCTAAGATGATTTTTACGTCTGAGACATGGATTTTTCCATATAATGTGCACACATGTAGGAGTGATCAGTGCTCATAAATTTGATAATGAGGCCTAGAAAGGTGTAATCCGGTCTAAGAAGCGAAGTCGTCTAGTCTACCGTAATTGATGTTGACTCAAATGTTTGAGATTTGCAAAATTTGTTTTTTTTGTAGGTGTAGCTTATAAAACAGATTGTAGTAAGTTTTTTTATTACGGATAGAATGAAAAATATTTTTGAGTGCAGGATCTTCTGGTTTTTGTCAATACATGGAATTTCCTATAACAGATACATGCAATTAGGTGAAAAGGACCACTATAAAAGGGTATGACACTTTTCACAAGCATGGTCTTTGTCTCTGGAAACTCCAAAAACTTTTTTTCACCAACTAGGAATCCCGGAGAGGGTCTAGAGATCAGAACTTTGTCGAGGGGAAAGAACAAAACGGAGATTGATACATACTTACCTTCGTAAATCACATAACAAATTTTGGTTTTTCTTCCGAATTTTATTAACTATTAGTACAAAAATGAGATAACGCTTCCAAAGTGTAACCAAAGCCAAATTTGAAGATATTTCAGAATATTTTGTGAGAACACTAAATACCATCACTCCGTTTCGTTCTTCCCCTTAGACAGAGTTTAAAATGAGTTCTAGGTCTTCTATGACCTCCTCAGTAAGGAAGGAAGACCCAAAATCACTTAATATGTTAATTTTGTAAATTTATAAGGTTTCGTTTGCTTACTTTATTGAGCTTTTTATCATTAATATTTATTGCTTATTTTTATGATTTTTCAATTGCTTACCGTCTCAAACCTATCCAACCATCAATTGCAGACAGATTCCGCTTCAAGCAAGATTAAACTTCTCATGGCTAAAGTGTCATGAGCATCTTAGTCGATCAAATCATGGATTAAAACAGGTGTCATGAGCTTGACTTGAGCTGGTGACATTTCCATTTGAGTAAGAGTTTCATATCCGATTTGAAGATCTTGATCGGGAAGTAAAAGAAGAAGCGTCGGGCCTTGTAACCTTTCCCTTTGGGAATCATAAACCTTGCAGCAGTTGAAAACAATCTAGCAAGATTTCAGATTATCGAAAACAT